AAAATTTTGTTAGTAGTTTTTAAGCAGTTATGAAACTTTAGAGAGAAAGTTATATCACTGGCTAAATCCTAGTTACGAAAGCTTATTGGATTTGTATGGTAGTTTTACTAAGGATGAATACGCTATCGCAATTTCTATTAATGATCACTATGCAATAATGGGCAGTAACATAATTTTATCTATTAGAAATATTCATAGATCAGATATCCCAGTTCATATTTATTATGCTGGTGACTCTGATTTAAACCCTTTAAATCAAAATATGCTAAGATCTTTGGGTAAAAATATCGAATTACACGATTTATCAACGCTTATCGATAACAGTTTTGTTCAAGTTGAAAGCTTTGCTACAAAGGTATTCGCTCAGTTATTAACTCCAGCTCAACACGTTATGTTACTTGATGCGGATGTAGTGCTTTTACAGCCTCCAGAGCGTGGGTTTACAAATCTTAAATACGAAGCTACAGGTTCATTATTCTTTCACGATCGCCAAATAAGAACGGTTAAACCAGAAACTGCAACCTGGTTTCTTAATATGCTCCCTGATAAAATATCGGATACTAAACCCCCCAAAAGACTAGAAAATCACCCTTGGTTCACAGAAAAGTCTGAACATATCCAAGAATCAGGAATGGTTCTCATTGATAAAGTTAAACATCTTACACCGCTTCTCACTACAACTCTCCTCAACAAAAAAGTAGAACGCGAGCTTACTTATAAAAGGGTGTGGGGAGATAAAGAAACTTTTTGGATTGGGTTTGAAGTTATTGGCCATCCCTATTACTTTTCACCACATGAACCACATCCTATAGGCGATGACACATATTACCCTCGAGAAGAGGAGTTTGATTGGGATGAACCTAAAAAATTAACGACAACACCAAATTAAACGTATTTTGTTCATGTCATATGCTTCACTTTGATCAAGAATTAAATCCATTTTGGATCAATGGAGGACTTTGGTTTAGAAAGGACCATGTAGAGCTGGGGTTAGCTAACTATACAACTTATTCAATTGGACCTGGTAATTGGGATATTTTTGATGGCTATTGGGGATGTTTTAAGGGCGAAGAAGGGGAAATTATCACTAGGCCTTTGGAATTGGAGTATAAAGAAGTGTTGGAAACTACAACTGAATTTTATTTAAATTTTTATAACAATACATTTATTAACCCTTCTAAAAATCTTTAATTGGGTTTTGAAGAAATAAAATAAAGTATAACTATTATGCTTGTCAATTGTATATTATTAATTTTATAATACCTAAATGAAATTCTCCAAGTTAAGAATAACTGGCATAATTCTTGGTAATTTTCAAAATAAAATTACTTATTATATTTTGAAAATTTTGTTCTTGCAAATGCTTAGTGCTAAATATAAAACCAACTAATAGTATAAATAAGTATTCTTTAATAAACCAATGCCTAATAATATTACATTAAACTTCAAAATTCAATAAAATACAAAATGATGAAAACTCAAATAAATTAATTATTTTAGGTTTTAATGACGAGTTA